ACCGTGACCTTGCCTTTCGTGATCTTGCCTACGTTGGCGCTCAGCTTCTTAGCGGCCTTGGGGGTCTGCTTCACCGAGGCCGCGGCCTTCGCCGCGCCTGGTTTGCCCGAGGCGCCCGCGGCCGCGGCGCCGACCGTGCCTCGGCCGCGGCCGCGGCCGCGTCCACCCCCACGCCCGCGGCCAGCCGTGGGCGCCGCATCCTTCGGGGCGAGGTGGCTCCCAAGTGCCTTCGCTGCCTGAGCCATGGCATGCACCAGCCCTGGCGCAGCCTGCTGGCCGCCCCCCGCAGAGGCGTCGGGGAGAGGCGCGGGTGGAGCCTCAGGCGGCATCGGGGCGGCCTGGCATGCGACGATTGTTGTTGCCCCAGCGATTGGCATTGGTGAGGCTGCCTCCGATGTGGTCACAGAAGCGCTCGTCTGCTGGCTGCCCTGGGAGTCGACGAGCGACGCAGGCGAGGCGTCGCGCCCAATCGGGAGCGTGTCAGCGCTGAGGGTACCAGGGCTACTATCCCTCCTGCGCGCTGCCCCCTTCGGCGCCGCCGTGTTCAGCATAGTCAGGTTCGCCTCGTTAAGCGTGTGCGCGTGTGTGTTACCGCCTTGCATCGACTGGAACATCATCCCGAACTGCATAAATGCATTCATCATGCCCTCCACGTCCATGCCGCGCTGGGGCGCCGAACCCCCGAAGGGCGCCGAACCCCTGCTCACGCGGGAAAGGGCGGGAACGATCTGGCCTCCAGCGTGGCCGACGGCATGGCACCTCCTGAGGGAATTGTGAGAGCCACGGTACCCGAGGTTCTCGTCGTGCATGTCAAGGAGTTGCTTGGTGATCTCGGCGGGGGGCTCCACTGCGGGCCCGTTAACGCACGCGAAGTCGAGCACGGCTTGCGGCAGGCCCGCTGGAGTAGCAGGGTAACATTTCTGGTGGTCGAAGGGCCGCCTCGTCGAGCTGTCCAACCCCTTGACAAGGGAGCGGATCGTGCCCATGTGGCCCCTCATCTCGTTGGCGCTCATCGTCGTGCCTGCGGGGACGCCGACGATCAAGATGATCCCGAATGCGCGCTTGAGCAAGCCGTTGCCTGGGCACACAAGCCCGACGCGGTACAGCCTCTGAGCAATCACCTGCAGCTTGGGCGGCACAGTAATGTCGGGGTTCTGGATGACGTCCCAGTCGTTGGCGGTGAGGAACATGTGAATGTGATCGCACTTCTGCTAAACACGCACAACTCCGCTGTTCCTGCCAACTTTGTTCGTCTCGATGGCGTTGGCGAGGGCAGACGCCAACATCACCTTCTGATCCTCGGTCCACGGACCCGCGGCGACCTCCTGGGGCACTTCTGTGGCCACCTCCACAGAGACGTCCGCGGTGGCCTTCACGGCTACCTGCAGGGCGTGCGCTTGGTCTTGCAGCAAGCTCGCCTTGGGGATCCCAGCGGCCACCTGGGCGTTGATGAAGGCCACCCGTTGGCGCACCATCTGCACGAGGGTTGCGGCCACCGGCGGCGACGCCATCGGGTCGCAAGAGCACGAGTCTGGGGCGAAGCAAGCCAAACGACGAGACCCTGGCAGCCAAAAACGGCTACGGGTGATGGTGGTGATGATTTGATGGCGAGGATGCTAGCGCGCCTTGCTGTTGCTTGTGGATGCAATGAGTCTCGGTAAGGATGCAAGCCCCTTGGGCGCCCAAGTCGAAGCTGTAATGACGCATGGTTCATGGCACATATGCTTGGTAAGGGTGGAAGCCCATGGGGGCGATACATGTTTGTTAACGGGCGTCCTTAGGGTATGTGAAGAGGCCCAACGCCAACCGTCATTATCTTAAACATAATGACCCTCATCATCCACCTCCTCCGCCTCCTCCTCCTCCTCGTACTCCCCCTTCTCATGCTCCCCCTCCTCCTCCCCCTCCTCCTCATCATCCTCCTCCGCCTCATCCTCCGCCTCCTCCTCCTCATCATCATCATCCTCATCAGCATCATCCTCATCCTCATCATTCTCCTCCTCCTCCTCCATATCCTCCTCCTCCTCCTACTCTTCCTCATCATCCACCACCTCCTCCTCCTCAGCATCATCATCGTCATCATCATCATCATCATCATCATCATCATCATCATCATCATCATCATCATAATCAGCATCATCCCTCTCCCTGCACATGTCCCATCTCCCCCAAACAACCCCCAGTGTTCCGTACTGATGTGTGTGGGGGGGGCTTCGGGGAGCATCCAAGGATGCTCGAGCTGGACACCGCAGGGGGAGTAGAGGGAGTGTGAGCTCGACCCCCAGGGGAGTCGAGCGCAATTGAGCTCGACCCCCAGGGGAGTCGAGCGCATTTGAGCTCGACCCCCAGGGGAGTCGAGCGCATCTGATCAGGTGAGCTCGACCCCCAGGGGAGTCGAGCACAATTGAGCTCGACCCCCAGGGGAGTCGAGCGCAATTGAGCTCGACCCCCAGGAGAGGTGAGCGCATCTGCTCAGATGCGCTCGACGCCCCTGGGGGTCGAGCACAATTGAGCTCGACTCCCCTGGGGGTCGAGCTCAATTGCCTCGCCCCGCCCCTGGGGGTCGAGCCTCCCAACTCCTGGTCCAGATGCTCTCGACTCCGCGGGGGTCGAGCTTCATATGCGCCTCGAGCTCCCCCTGGGGGTCGACTCAAATTTAATTCGTCGACCTTCGCAAGTGCCGGCGGACCCTTCGAGATGCTCTCCGCCGCGGTTCGGGGACCCCCATTATGGCTCCGCATTGCCCACGAGACCCTCATGGCGCGCAGCGCTGACCTCCATGGATTCCCAAGATCGCATCATCCCCGATCCTTTCATTGCTTTTCCCCCGCGCCCCCCTCCCGACTCCTATGCCCTCATACGGCGCGGTTGGGTTCCCCGGGTCTGCTCAGGCGGAACCCCCCCCCCCCCCAGCCTCCTTGGCGCCACGGCTGGGCTCGACCCGAGCAGCAGACACATGGCGTACACGCATTTTCGCCTAGACCGCTAGAGTGAGGTGCGTATAGGTTCTAGCGCCAGTGCGCGGATGTCTTGCCAAGCTTGAGCACATCATATCTAGGTGAGGCCGAGCGGAGCGCTAAGGAGTATGCGCGCATACCCCTTCCCACATGCGCGTGCAGCGGCACGTGCTACTATAGCGAAAAACAAAATTGCACACTGGCGCAGCCGAGGGGCGATATGTACACATGAGTCCGCACGTGCGTTCACTAGAGGTCCTGCACATTGTGGCTGTTGTAGTGAGCTTGGAGCACTGGCGCGACCTTGTCTGCCTTCTCCTGCATCTGCTCGTTGGTCGGGGCCCTGATGCACTGGGTTTTCGTCCTGGGGGTCCCACTCAACGGATCGATCCAGGTGGTCTTGAGGGAACACCTGCACGGCAAGTAGGTGACGTTTTTCTCTCGAATCACTGGAACGAACCCTGGGTCGCGAACAGTTTCATGGCTCGGGGTCTTCCTCAGCACCTGGATGTGTTCGGCCTTCAGTTCGACCGATAGTTTCGAGCGTAGGTAGGCGGAGGTCTGCACAGTCATGCAGTGGTCCTGGCCCAGGGCGTCCTGGACCTTGATAGAGCAGAACCCTGAAAGAAGGAAACGCCGATGAAATCGCAGGCGCTGAAGGGGGTGCTGATTGGGCTGGGAGGTGTGGCCCACGTTCAGACCAGGGCGCCTGCGATTCCATCGATCCTTTCCTTCTTGGCCCTCTTCGCACATTGGGAATCGGGAGCATGATCTGCCAGGTGGTCGCCCTCGCGAGCGGCCTTTGCTTCGGCCTCATCCATCATTTGTTTTGTGGTCTCCAGGCGGCGTCTCTGGCAGAGCTCAAGCATCTCGAAATTGTTGTCCAGCAGCCTCTTGAAGGCTGCGTTCGAACGGTCGCAGGAAATCCATTTCTTACCATCAGCCTCGTGCACGCGCGCACCCCACGAGTTGGCGGGCTGGGGGTCCTCGGCATCTCCGATGAGCACATAGCCCTCCTGAACGGTCAAGGGCATGATGAGTAGCACTGGGAGGTTAGATACAAATACACGCCAAAACTCGCCAAGCGGCTTGAGCCTTCATGGCTATGCGATGGTGGAGGCTTTGTTATGCTATGCTATGCTATGGCATGCGCCGTTGTTCTGTTTACGTTGATGTCCGACGTGACCTGTGATGCGCTATGCTATGCAATGCTATGGCGTTCGCCACCGTGCTATGCTAAGCTATGCAATTGCGCACTGTCTGGTTCGTGTTGTGGCGTATTGTTTGTTGATTCGGATCTCGCTTTTGTTTTGCAAATGTTATGCAATGCTGCGCTATGCCATGCCGTATTGTCTGGCTGCGACCTTCTGCGTTGGTCCTTGCGCGCCCTCCATCCGACCTCCAGCCTCCTCTGGCCCCCCCGCCCCGAACTCCAAAGTTAGCCGGAACTCAATGAAAAAAAGCCATCTTTCGGGTGGGGTCGGGAGGGCCATGCCGCAGCTGGATTTGCCTCGACATCTGCGCCATCGCGCGCCCAGCACAAGGCGGGCCGACGGCTTCGCCCCCCTCCCACTGGACGTCGCGGCCCTGACTGGAGGAGGAGGGGGGCGAGGAGGAGGAGAAGGAGGAGGAGGAGGAGATGAACGGCGAGGATTTCTGCGAGAGCTAGTGCGCTGGCAGCACGGGCGCCCTCCGCCCAGCAACGACGCTGGCCGCCAGCGCCCTCGCCGCGGGCGCCAAGGGCAGAGCGAGATGCCTCGCGCCTGCAGCGGAAAGCAGCGAGCCCCGCAGAGAGGGCGTCGCTGCTGGAGCCCGCGTGGGGATGGGAACGCCATGCCGAGTTAATGCGCTTGCGCTGATCATTATCATCATCATCATCATCATCATCATCATCATCATCATCGCCATCATCATCACCATCATCATCATCAACAGCATCATCATCATCATAATCATCATCATCATCATCATCGTCATCGTCATCGTTATCGTCATCATCGTCCATTCCCATCCTCTCTCGGGCGACTCGACAACGTCGAGCACCTACTCGCGCGGCCTCTCGTTGGCGCCGCTCAGGGGCACATCGGGCGAGCTAGGAGACGGACGTGCGAACGCCGTGCCCTTCTTCAGCTTCGTCGTGTTGCGCAGCACGGGGATCAGCACGTTGCGACTGCAACCGCCCATGCCACGGGCGTTGGGAGCGCACGCGAGGTCGAGCTTCAGCTTGCCGACAGCGAGCGGCGCACTGTCATCATCCTCGGCCTCAGGGATGCACCAGTACGGCACCGCGAACGCCTTCTTGTCGCCCACGGGGAGCTGGCAGCACTTGGCGAGGTACACGGCCGTGCCCGACGGGGCCCCGACACCATCCACGATGACGGCGCCCTCGGGGACCTTGTCTGTGGAGCATGCCCCGACATTGATGCTCAAGGGCACGATGATCAACTGGCCAGGCTCATATGGTCTGTTGCACGCCACCTCCTGGACCTCGGTCTTGCCCGTCGGCGACGTGGCGTACTTGATGGTGAGGTCCACGGCAGGGCTCGTGATGCGGTACGCGGTCATCACCGTGTCCCGCACCGATGCTTTGCACCCCTCGGTCAGGACATCTTGGTGGTCCTGCGGCGGGGTTCCAAAGAAGCTACGAGGGAGGTAGACGAGGGGGTCGGGCAAGCTAGGTGCGCTCGCGTCATATCTGACGTCCTACCCCTCCCTCCCACCCCTTACCATGGCGCTGATTTTCTCTATCCGCGGACGCGTGTCGTAGCGGACTTGTGGCTCCGCGCGCGCGTGCGTAGTGGGTGGTGGTGCGCGTGCGTGCGTGCGTGCGTGCGTGCGTGCGTGCGTGTGTGGTTGTGGTTGTGGTGGCGGTGGTGGCGGTGGTGGTGGAGAGGGAAGAGGGGGCAGGGAGGGTGGGAGGAGGGAGGGTGGAAAGGGGGGAGGGAAGAGGGAAGAGGGAGAGGGAAGAGGGAGGAGGGAGGGTGGGAGGGAGGGAGGGAGGGGCTCAGGGCCCGAAGCTCCAGGGCGGAGGCCTCGTCAGGGCCGACCGTCACGGAGAGGTGCGTCCAGCGCTTCATGACCTCTGCGGGGAGGGCAGCCCCCCGCCTCTCCTCCTCCTCCTCCTCCTCCTCCTCCTCCTCCTCCTCCTCCTCCCCCTCCTCCTCCTCCTCCTCCTCCTCCTCCTCAGATTCCCCCTCCTCGCCTTCCGCATCATCCTCCGCATCCTCATCAGCGTCGTCGTCCTCGTCTTCCTCATCATCATCAGCATCATCATCCTCAACATCACCAGCAGCAGCAACATCAGCATCACCAGCGCCATCGTAGTCACCATCGCCATCCGCAGCATCAGCATTACCACCGCCACAGCCATCATCACCACCATACCAGCATCACATCACCATCGTGATCATCATCTCTACGTCGTCGTCGTCGTCGTCGTCGTCGTCGTCGTCGTCGTCGTCATCAGCAGCAGCATCATCATCGTCGCCATCGTCATCGTAATCGTCGTCATATCATCCAACCCCATCCTCATCCTCCCCCTGCCCTCTTCCTCGCTCGTATCAGTATCCTTATCCTCCTCATCCCCCTCCTCCTCCTCCTCATCATCTTCCTCCTCCTCCTCCTCCTCCTCCTCCTCCTCCTCCTCCTCCTCCTCCTCCTCCTCCCCCATCCCCCTCAGTATCTTCATGCATCCCCTCATGCTTCTCAAGGTAGCCCGAGGTACCTGGTACTCGTCCAGCAGTTGGCCCGTCGGCACCTTGAGCTGGTCGGCCTTCTTGCTCGTCGCCCGCTTCTTGGCGTCATCATCCCCAGGTTCTGGCTCGAGGATGGCGCGGGGGCCCTCGCACCTCGCGATGGTCCACGGGCCGCCGAAGAACGGCGGCACCTTGCGCTCGACCACGGCCTTGGCCAAGAGCCCGCGCTGGACGAGCGTCTGCTGGGAGACGTCGCCGTCGCGAGTGGAGACTTTGAATCCCACTGGCCCCGACGCCGACGACGCTTGCCCCTTCTGCTGCATATCTGGCTCGACGTCGAACGGGGCCTCCTTCTGGTCGCTCCCAGGGAAGCGCAGGTAGACGTCGCCGAGGAATTCGCACGCGATCTGGTTGAGATCATCGTAGGTCTTCCTGCCTTTACCCTTTTCCCCAATAGCATCATCATGCCGCGGACCTGGAGGTCGCCAATGAGCCTGTTCTTGTCCGTGGCATTCGGGCTCGGCGTCAAATCGCTGAGGCCATCAAGAAACTGCTTCGCCATCCTGACGATCTCAGAAAACTCCAAGCACTTGTTCTTGTTCTTGCCGACCAGGTTCTGGACGTCCCAGCTGGTCAGTAGGGTGGACACGCCGTTCTTCACATAGTTCTCAGGGCTGCACATTGCGCTCTTCACCATTGCGATGATGACGTCGGGTGCGCTCGCGAACTCCACGGTACCCAAGATCTTGAACACCGAGCTCGGGACATCAACTTTGGTCCTCATCAACTTCGACCAGATGTCCAACTCATTGAGCAGCGGCGCCTGCTCATGCCCCCCAGACCAGTTCTCGACGAACTTGGTGAGGTCCTTGATCTGCCCCTTCAGGCGTGGCTTTCCCGACTCGATGTTCGTGACCACTCCAGGCCAGTCGAACTCGCCCTTCTTCTTGAGGTTCCGACCACCCTTCGCGTGAATCTCCATCAGGAGCTGCATCTTCGTCAAGGTCCGCTCCGTCTGGTGCCCTGAGTTGCCTGCGTCTTGCAGGAACTCGGGGAGGCCAGGGCACCCGTGGAGGATCTCATTCCGAATCATCACCCACTCGATGCCCTCGTCGAGGAATTCCTTGATCGAGGGGTTGATGGCGATCACCTTCTCGCGCGCCAGCTTGCCGTCCCTGCACAGGTGCTCCAGGTCGGCGATGTCGCAGAGCGCCTCGGCGTTGACAGCGTTCACTCAATGACAATAAAAACTAAATTCAAAAAAAAAAAATATTAAAAAAAAAAAAACAAAATTGGAAAAGAAGAATCAAAATGAGACAACAGAAAAAAACAGTTTCAAAAAAAAAGAAAAAAAGGCAAAATTTAAGACAAAGAAAAAAACAATAACAAAAAAAAAAAACAAGCCGAAGTTGGCGTGAGTGCACGTGACCGACACCGCGCGTATGTCTTCGCGAGACACAGGCGCCAGCATGTCGTCTGAGTTCGACGCCATATCCACGTTGAACTTGATCTCATCCGAGTCGTGTGGGCCCAGCTGGAAGCAAGTGGGGCTGTCCAGCCTGCTCTTGACGAAGCCCTGCTCGATAATCCTGGCCAGCAACAGGTGCACATCGACGGGGTCGACGCCGTTGCCGTGCCTGTTCCGACTCGACGCCGCCACATGCTTGGGTTTCATCCTCTCTTTGGTGGCGAGCCCGTGTTGGAGCAAGTAGTTGACCAGCTCCTCGCTCTTGGCTTTCTTCTGCTGGCACTCAGCCTGCGCGGCGAAGCTCGCGAGCCGACCGTTGATCCACGGGATGGCAGCCTCCAAGGCCGCCTTGAACCCGCCCGACGCCATATATTCCGCACGTGAGATAATCGAGATACCTCGAAGCTTGAGCACTAAATGGCTACTTAGGGGGGTGCATCGGGAGGTCCCTTCACCATCCAGCACAGAGCCCCCCACGAGCGATGATATCGCTGCGAACCCTCATGGGGCCCTCTCGGGGGGGGGGCTTTGGATACTACTCAAGACGCCATGAGGGCCAACGAGTAACCCCGAGGGTGACCCACAAAGGCCCGTGGCCCAACTGGGTCCCAGTGCCCAAAGAGGCCCCTCCTCTTCCTCCTCTTGTTTCTCCTCCTCCTCGTCCTCCACCTCCTCATCCTCATGTTGGTCCTCCCCTTTTCCTCCTCCTCCTCCTCCTGCTACTCCTCAACCGAAAATCGCAAGTCCGCACGCCGACTTGTGACTATCGTGGGGCCAGATCGGGGCCATGGCATCCCCCTTCTCATGACCCCCCCCCCGCCATCATCATGTCCCGCCTCGTCTTAGTGCGATGCCGAACCCCAACATCGCGATCACCGAAACCGCGTTTACGAAGAAGCTAAAGTGTTTAGCTAAACTGAGTTTCCGAGTTTAGCTAATCGAGGTTTCACAACCGCTAAACAGGTTAGCTGAATATCGTAACCACCTTAGATATCCTCCGTATTCAAGTTAGCAAGATAGCCTAAGCATTTTAGTAAATGCTTATATGTGTGCTATGTGGTAACTAAAGGCGCTAAATGGTTGCACCTTGCGTCGTCGAGGATACGATGATATAACCGAGGATATGCAGTTATAATTTGCTTATAAGTTGCTTATAATATGCTTATATACATGATATATATGCTTATATCATGCCTAAATGGTTAGGAACCGCCGCGGCGATTCAAGTAGTCTGTACTCTCTGTTTCAACCCTTTACTTTGGGGCAGTCTGTAAGGTGACTGCGAGCTGTCCGGCATGACTGTCAGACAGCTGGGGCTGCAAAACCTAGGAGAAAGTTCTACCTGTGTAACAGCAGAGCAGATTTCACGATATAGGTTTTGCATTTAGTTTATCACTCAAGAGCGTCTCTCGTAACTTGACGCGTTGGCTCAAGGGAAAAGCATCTGCGTACCTTGCTGCTGCCACAGACTACTACTACTACTACTACTACTACTACTACTACTACTACTACTACTACCGCGATTACTACTACTACTACTACTACTACTACTACTACTACTACTACTACGACTTCTACTTCTACTACTACTACTACTACTACTACTACTACTACTATTACTACTACTACTACTACCACCACCACTACTACTACTACTACTACTACTACTACTACTACTAGCTCTACTAACTAGTACTAACTACTACTACTATATACCACTACCTCTATACTACTCTACTACTACTACTACTACTACTACTACTACTACTACTACTGCCACTACCACTACTCTACTACTACTACTATACTGACTACTACTACTACTCTACTACTCACTACTACTACTACTATGGAAGTTGGGTTTGTTGTGTGTGGGAAAGATTGTAGTTTACTAGTACTACTACTAGTACTACTACTAGTACTACTACTACTACTACTACTACTACTACTACTACTACTACTACTACTACTACTACCGCCGCTGCTACAACTACGACGATGAGGAGAAGGAGGAGGACGGCGTTTACCGCTCCTCCTAATGTTGCTTTCCTAAAGGCTCCAACTCCTAGGTCGGGTCGCACTGGGATGCTTGACAACAAAACGTCTGAACCACACGGCTTCAACATACCAATGTTCCTAAACTGTCTCGAACGAACGGGCCACTTTAGGGGGAACCTGACCGGACAAGAACGGGGGGCGCCGCTTTGCACACAAGGCTTGTCAGATAACGTCTGGTTGAGCACGCCAAAGAACTCCGCGCTGGCGTGCCGCGCTGGTCTGCCGTGCTGGTCTGCCGCGCTGGACTTGCCTCCTCCTCATCCTTCCCCTCCTCCTTTCCTTCCCCCCTCCCCCTTCAAGCGGGATTAGTGGTTGCTTCTCCGAGCTTCGTGGTTGCCTGTGGTTGCTGTGGTGACTTTGGTGCGAGCGTGCGTGTACGCACGCGTGCCTGTGAATGTGCCTGTGTGAGCGCGTGCGTGCAGGGTTGTGCTATGGGAGCGACGTGGCGGGGGGGTGTACGGCGTGCGTGCGGGTTGTGTTATGGGAACGGCGTGGTGGGGGGGAAGCACGGCGCGCGTGCGGAATGTGTTAGGGGGGCGACGGGCGGGGGGAATGTACGGCGTGCGCGCGGGGTGGATATGGGAGCGCGGGGGGGGACTGTGTTACGGGGGCGCACAGCATGCGCGCGGGGGGGACTGTGTTATGGGGGCGACGGGCGGGGGGGGGATGTACGGCGTGCGTGCGGGATGCGTTATGGGGGCGACGGGCTGGGGGGAAGTGCGGCGCGCGTGCGGATGTGTCATGGGGGCGACGGCCGGGGGGGATGCACGGCGCGCGCGCGCGTGGTGAACGAGAGAGAGAACGAATGGGGAGGAGGGGGAGGAGGACCAGGAGTAGGAGGAGGAGGAGGAGGAGGAACGAACGAACGAACGAACGAACGACGCGCTCCATCGGCCCGGAGGCCGTCCCGAGACGGGTGGCGGAAGAGAGACGGAGGAGGAGGAGGAGGAGGAGGACGAGGAGGAAGAAAAGGCAGAGTAGAAGGAGGAGGAGGACGGAGGAGACGGAGGAGAGACGGACGAGACCTCAGGGACGGAAGAGACGTCAGAGACGGAGGGGACGAAAACCTCAGAGACGGAGGAGACCTCGGAGACGGGGGAAACGTCAAAGACGGAGGAGACAGGACCCCGAGCTAAGACGCTGCGAGTGCCGTGTTCCGAGGGTGCCTCGAGCGAGAGCCTCATTGTTAACGAAAGACGTGTTAACCACGCGGCCTCAACATTTCAATTGTCCGAGGATGTCCCAGGCGAAACGGCAATTTCTAACGATTCGCTGAATTTTGTGAGCGCGCTCCGAAACTCATGTTTCGAGGATGTCTCGAGCGAGAGCCTCAGTGTTAACGAAGGCGTCTCAAACATACGACCTCAACATCCCAAGTGTTCGAGAATGTCTCGGGCGAAACATCTCAATTGTCAGATAACGTTTGGTTGAGCACGCCAAAGAACTCCGCGCTGGCGTGCCGCGCTGGTCTGCCGTGCTGGTCTGCCGCGCTGGCCTTGCCTCCTACCCATCCTTCTTCTCCTCCTCCTCCTCCTCCCCCTCCTCCTCCTCCTCCTCCTCCTCCTCCTCCTCCTCCTCCTCCTCCTCTCCTTCCTCCTCCTCCCCCTTCCCCCCTTCGACGTCATCTGCCTCTTTGCCTCCTCCCGCTCCTGCTGCTGCTGCTGCCGCCGCTGCTGCTTCCGCGCGACCCCCCTCCGCAGACGATTAGCCAGGGATCGCGCGGGGCGGAGGGGGCCCCGAGCGCCTTCCACACAGAGAATTCGCCAGAACTTGCGCCGCGCGCGGAGAGCGGGATAAATGTTTGCTTCTCCGAGCTTAATGGTTGCCTGTGTTTGCTGTGGCTACTCTAGTGTGACCGTGCGTGTATGCACGCGTGCCTGCGCATGTGCCTGTGTGAGCGGCTGCGTGCGCGCGCGCGTCTTTACAGGGTTGCGTTATGGGAGCGACGGGAGGGGGGATGCAATGTGCTATGGGGGCGACGGGCGGGGGCGCACGGCGTTCGTGCGGGATGTGTCATGGGGGCGACGGGCGGAGGGGATGTACGGCGTGCGCGCGGGATGTGCCATGGGGGCGACAGGCGGGAGGGATGCGCGGCGCGCGTGCGGGGTGTGTCACGGGGGCGACGGGCGGGGGGGGGGATGCGCGGCGCGCGTGCGCGATGAAGGAGAAAGATAATGAGGAGGCGGAGGAGGAGGAGGAGGAGGAGGAGGGGGAGAAAGGGGAGGAGGAGGAGGAGGAGGAGGAGGAGGAGGGGGAAGAGGAGGAGGAAGAGGATGACGGAGGAGACGGAGGAGAGACGGAGGAGACCTCAGAGACGGAAGAGACCTCAGAAACGGAAGGGGGCGGAGACCTCACAGACGGAGGAGACCTCTGAAACGGAGGAGACGGAGGAGACAGGACCTCGAGCTAAGTTGCTGCGAGTGCCGTTGCCCGCGAATGTCTCGAGCGAGAGCCTCAGTTTTAACCAAAGGCGTCTTAACGACGCGGCCTCAACATATCAATTGCCCGAGGATGTCTCATGCGAAACGGCAATTTTCAACGATTCGCTGAATCTCGTGAGCGGGCTCCGAAACTCAGTCTTAGTTTTAACGCAAGGCGTCCCAAACATTCGATTTCAACATTTCAATGTTTCCTAGATGTCTCGAGCGAGACTGCCATTTCAGGGGGAGACCTGATGAGATGCTTGT